GGCGCTGCCGGCGCAGGAACGCGCTCCGGTGCGCGTGGATCCCGGTGCAGTACCCACTCATATCTGAGTGCAAGTGCGCTTGCCCGAGCTGAGACTCTCCACTCACACCCGCATCACACCTGCACAGGTGTGACATCATCACAGGCGTGGACAGCAGAGAACTTTATTTATTCATCACGTCATCCTGTAAAATCACGTGTTTGACTTTGTCTTCAGTTCGAGAAACAGAAAAGTGTCAAATTTGTTTTTGCAAGAAATGTAAAATGTTTTCACAGCAGCCAAAACCCCGAACGCAGCGCGCGCCTGCGGGTCCACAGACCGGCGCGCGCCTGCGGGTCCACGTGGAGTCAGTCTGCTCAGAATCAATGCAAAAGATCCAGAATCTGTTTTATGTCCTCAGAAAAGTACAGATGGGTGGAAACGAGCAGCACCGCAGGAACATTTGTCACATTCAGGCGACTTTATGTGTTTTTTCTGTTTGATTTTAAGGTGGAAAACCTGCAGATCAGGTTCCAGCTAAATGATGTAACCGAGAAAATTATTATCTTATTATCAGTGATTTATTCTTGTCATTTCTTTGGAGAAATAAACACATTTACCACAAGGTGGCAGCGTTTTAGCAGTTTTCTATCTGTGTTGTGTTTAAATGTTTGTGTTTAATAGAGACGCTGAACGTCGTTTCGGTACGAATGAGTTCAAACTAACATGAATAATGTGGGATCGTTATTTAAACCAGAGTTTCACAGACAGCAGGGAGGATGGAGGGGCGGTGGACGGCTCCGGCGGGCTCTCCTCTGCACGTATTCAGGTGGCGCGCACACCTGTGCCGCTGTTGCTGCTGAACATCTACAGATTTTCTTCATGTTCTTCCTGTAGGTTGAAGATTAATATTGAAAGATTAAATTCTATAAATCCAGCTGATTATTGTAGAAATACGTGCGCGACGTTCTCATCAGAATCACGTCACGCATTCAGCTTCGGTCTATCGTGAATATTTGATATAGTTTTATTGTTTGTTGTCTACAGACCTGAGTCTGCAAAATATTAGAAAACATCAAGTCTGAGTGGTTTACGTAGCGCAAAGACTAAACCAAGGAAATCTGTAAACATGTGAGAAACAGCATCAGTCCAGGAGCGCGCAGATCACTGAAGACCCACTGACACCATCAGTGACCCTGAGCTTTGAGACGTGCTCTTTCTCCTCGGGTGGTGCTTCATCTTGGCCCACGTGAGGAGCTCTACGGACCACAGCTAAACCACTGTGGAGAACTGAATCACATATTAAGTAAAATAAGGTCAAAATAATGTTCGTGAAACATTTCTGTCCGAAAGTGGCACAAAAACGTTTCAAATGATCAGTTGAACGTGAAAAACCTCCTACAGGAGCACGTCTGCAGCTCATCGTCCTCCCAACATGAGCTCAGTGAAACAAAGTGAAAGAATCTGCCATGTCTGACGCGTTTTCACGTAAATGATGAGCAGAGTTCACTCGGAGTCTGTGCAGCAGATACTGGAAAACAGGCTGCAGGTGGGATGAGTGGGAGATGTCGGAGGTCACACCCACGTGTTTCAAGGGTTTCAATGCAGTGCGAGGAGACAGCCGGCATCTGTGGCCACCCACCCGGCTGCCCGGTCGCCGCCGGCGTCCCCGCCCACGCGTCATAAACCCCGGTGTTCAGAGGAGACTGCCAGGAGCCGACGCGTACACCGCAGTCCGCGCGCCGCGCTGGACTTCCTGTGGCGCAACAAACGTGTCAGTGCGTAAAACCTGTAAGCACAACATTAGTAACCAGAGACAGACGATGAGCAGCACACAAACACTCACGCTGTGGAAATATACTTTCATTTCTATATAAAAGGTCATAAACGTGCAGAGACTCTTTGTTTTAGAGTCGACACATTTTTTCCTCCATTTCTGGAATTTCCTGAATAGTTTTCCTGTTTCACAGCAGGCAGACGCTTCCTGCAGCACTTTATTC